TATTGGTAGAGTCCAAAGCCTGCGACGTGGTGGCATTCCTACCTAGCTTAATTTTCCCTCAAACAGGGTCAGGACAACCTGGACACCAGTCACCCTATTGATGACGTTTTCCCACCAGCTGTAGGACTGCAGTTAGAGGATACACAAGGGAAAAAAGGCCCAAGACCTGCAGCCCAAGATTTGCAGATGCTGTCTGGAAAACCCTTGAGGGTGGGTTTTTGTAGATCATTAGTCCAGGTAAAGATTTCGGCCTGGAGAAGAGAAGGCTTTGGGGAGACCTCTGTAGATCATTAGTCCAGGTAAAGATTTCAGCCTGGAGAAGAGAAGGCTCCAGGGAGACCTTGGATCCCCTACCAGTCCCTAAAGGGGCTCCAGGAGAGATGGGGAGGGACTCTTATCAGGGAGTGGAGCCATAGGACAAGGGGTAATGGTTTTAATCTGAAAGAGGGGAGATTAAGATGAGTTATTAGGAAGAAATTCTTTGCTGGGAGGGTGGTGAGAGCCAGGAATAGGTTGCCCAGAGAAGCTGTGGCTGCCCCATCCCTGGAGGGGTTCAAGGCCAGGCTGGATGGGGCTTGGAGCAACCTGGTCTGGTGGGAGGGGTCCCTGCCCAGGGCAGGGAGGGGTGGAACTTGATGGTCTTCACTCCCTAACCATTCTATGATTTGCTAGAAGAATAAACAGGTGACAGTGGATGTCTCTGGAAGTAGGGATGATGTACTTCACAGAGAAATCTCTGACAAGAGGCTGCCAGCACGCAAACTAGCAATTTGCAGGGAAGTCTGGGTTTGGACTGAAACCTCTCATCCTACCAGGCGTAACAAGAGTATGGTGTTAAAATAATACAGAAGGTCCCAAAAAATGCTGAGGAGTCAGACTCTGATCTATACTTAGCACTGTGAAATTACAGTACAGCGCCAACAAACCAAAGTTCATTACCCGTAGACCATCTATTTAATGGAAAACTGAGAGTTTGGCGGTTGCAATATCAGGCTTATAGGAACAGAGAGAGATGAATGAAGTTAAACAGAAAAAAAAAATAAAACACATTATGATTTAAAGTCCATGAAATGCCACTGCTTACTGAAAATGACACATCGTGCAACGAGGTTGGAAAGAAGCGGTCAACGACAGCATTGGGATCACATGAGTCTTCTGAGGTTGCGACCACAGATGGATGTATCCTGTGACCGCCTTCTCCAGCTTCCACAGAGGGCTTGGTGGGGGGAGAATGCTGAATTCACTGCTTCCTCAAGGAGTTCTGCTTCAACAGCACAACCATTATGGGCCCAGATTTGTGAGCTCCAGAGCATTTACTCTGCCAGAACAAATCATTGTCTGCTGGGGGTGTTGGTGTTTTGAGGGAGAGCTGTCAAACACTAACAGGGCAAAGGGCCACCAGAAGGCAAATGCTATTGGTAAGTTTTGCTGGTAAGTGCTAGTACGTGTTGTTTGTGGGGAAAGGAAGGAGAAGTGTTGGGAATTGATGTCTTTAGAGGGCTTAGCTTCAGAGAGAAAGTCTGCAAAGTGGTGGTAGATGTGCGAGTTCCTCCATCAGGGCTGCTGGGACTGGTCCCTGAAAAAGGAGAGCTTCTCTGTGCCCAGAGCAATTCCCCAACTCTGTCTTCTCAGTGGCCTGTCTTATGTTTTCATATATCCCTCCCCAAAGGAGAAATGGAGATCCCCTCTAATGGACCTGCCCCTCCCAGCAGGGATTGTAATTCCCCGCAGTTTTCCCTGCTTGAGCAATTTCTGTATCCAGTTGATCTCAGTAGGGCTATTCTTCCCTTGTAAAAGGAAGCAAAAGAAAAGGGGGTAAAAAAGGAGAAAGCTTATTTTCCTGCTCTGAGCAAGAGTGATGCATGAAAAGATCACTGTCTCCAAAATGCTGTATCATAAAGACATCACAGGCTGCAGAAGAATTTTCTGTTTGCGAGGTGCTTCACGGGCACTATCAGGCTTGAAATCTCTGCACCAGAGTGCTGCATTTAAGGCAAAAAACAGTCCTTTGAAAAATATGCAGTTTGGGGATGCTTCTGACCTTCCCTCTGTGGGGAGGGAGGTTTGAACAGATTGTTTTTTCCACGCGTATTCCCAGATCAGGCAAAAGCTGCTGCGCTTCTGTTTCATCATAGAATCACAGAATGGTTTGGGTTGCAAAAACTGCTGTGCTTCTGTTTCATCATAGAATCATGGAATGGTTTGAGTTGGAAGGGACCTTAAAGATCATCCAGTTCCAGCCCCCTGCCCTGGGCAGGGACACCTCCCACCAGACCAGGTTGCTCCAAGCCCCATCCAGCCTGGCCTTGAACCCCTCCAGGGATGGGGCAGCCACAGCTTCTCTGGGCAACCTCTTCCAGTGTCTCACCACCCTCACAGCAAAGAATTTCTTCCTGATACCTAATCTGAGTCTCCTCTCTTTCAGGTTAAAACCATTACCCTTCATCCTATTGCTACAATTGCACTGTTAATAGTTTGCTTGGTTAATTGTTGCAGTAATTTACCTTGCCCACCCCTCAGTGCCCCCACTTTGGCTTTGTGAAAGGAGCACCCTGTGGATTTACACCTTTAGGCTGCCTGGCTCTAACCCTGAGTCTACAGAAATGCGCATCAGAGCTGTTTTCCCATCTTTATATGACTTTTTCCATATAGAAATAGTCCCTCTTTGGGAGCTGGGAAGGGACAGTCCCAGCTTTGGTGCTTCTGTAGGAGAGTAAGAGCAGGGCAGGAGGGGTCTCCCCATCTTCTTGTGCCGCCTCTTCCCTGCTTTCCTCCATCCCAACCATGAGGTGACCACACAACGTGACCTGAAGTACATTTAGCAATCCATCTTATTTAAAAGTAAGTGTTTTCATAAAATTAAACAACTATTTAAGATACTGTTTTTCAACTTGTCAGCTTTTCATACTAAAGAACTGCGGCTCCTGGAAGTTCAAAGCAAGCTCTCAAAGAAGAGGTAGTTTCTGTTTCCCCACAGCCCGCTGAGTTTTTGTCAAAATGGGATTATCTGTGTATTTTGTTAATATCATGACTTGTGACTAACACAAAAGGAATTAAACCCGGGGTTAAAACAAAAACCAGCAAATAGGCAGTGGCTTCTGCGTGATCTTGCTTCTCCCCTCACACCCACGCAGTTTAGCAAGCCTGGAGTGGATTATAAAGAAAAAGAAAGAAAAAAAGGACCCAAATTCATATCACCAGGTATTAAATTCTGCAATAAATTTGCAGGAGCAGGAGTCCCTGCAAATAAGGGATGTTTGGACGGATATTGAGCTCAGCTGGCACAGTCACATGTAGAAAGGTTGCTTATACAAGTATGGGGATTCGGATAGCTGGCAGTTGGGTTTCTCCTGGTTTGTTTTTTTTTTTTTGGAAGAAACCTCTGTGATCTGCTGTGGTCTGGGCTTCCTCAGAAAGTCTCACAATCTCTCCATCACACTCATTGTTTTCTTCCACAACACTTGCATAACTTCTTTGAAAAAAATGTCAGTGATTCATCAAATAATATGTGCTGATGACATTGTATCCTCAACGTGGCCGTATTATAAAAGAATAAGAATGCAAAAGTATAAATAATTCTAGTAGAGTAACTCTTAAATGACCAAACTGAGCATGGGAGAATATTTTGCCAGATATGGCATTCTCACCGGGTCATGGAATCATAGAATTGCCTGGGTTGGAAGGGACCTTTCAGATCATCAAGTCCAACCATCAACCCAACGCTGACAAAACCCATCACTAACCCATGTCCCTCAGCACCACGTCTGCCTGGCTTTTAAATACCTCCAGGGGTGGGGACTCCACCACTGCCCTGGGCAGACTCTTCCAATGCTTAATAACCCTTTCAATGTAGAAATTTTTCCTAATATCCATCCTAAACCACCCTTGGTGCAACTTGTGGCCGTTTCTTCTTGTCCTACTGCCTGTGACTTGGGAGAAGAGACTGACCCCACCCTGGCTACACCCTCCTTTCAGGGAGTTGGAGAGAGTGAGAAGGTCTCCCCATAAACCATAAACCTCATCACAAACCATCCATGCAGACCCCTCTCTGCTCAGCCAGTTACTGAGGAGGTGAATGGCGTTGTAAAGAGATTACAAGACTCGCTCCTAGAAATATAGGGCAGGGCTGTATAAAAAATGTGGGGGAAATAAAAAGCATAATTTCTTATCAAAACGATAGGGAGCTAAGCTAGTTTAAAAGCTTTAAAAGCACAATTTTGGGTCCACTGGTTTGGAAAGCACTGGGTTAGGGAGCGGTTAGGGCAGTAAAGTGAGGAGCAGAAGTAGCATGGGGAAGGAAGAGAGAGACGGGGAAAATGGTAAGTCCCAACTGGGAAAATGATGGTGAATATCTGGAGCTTGGCTGGGACAGTGATCTTTTTGCCCCATTCAGATGCATTAAGAGGAGGACATCCAGCAGGACAGCTATCCCCATCCTGGGCTGCATCCCCAGCAGCGTAGCTTGGCTGGGACAGTGATCTTTTTACCCCGTTCAGATGCAGTAAGAGGAGGACATCCAACAGGACAGCTACCCCCATCCTGGGCTGCATCCCCAGCAGCGTGGCCAGCAAGGCGAAGGGAGGGATTCTGCCCCTCTGCTCCGCTCTGGTGAGACCCCACCTGGAGCCCTGTGTCCAACTCTGGAGTCTTCAGCACAGGAAGGACATGGACCTGTTGGAACAGGGCCAGAGGAGGCCACGAAGATGCTCCAAGGGCTAGAGCCCCTCTGCTGTGAGGACAGGCTGAGAGAGTTGTGGTGGAACTGACGTGTACCTGCACATAGGACCACAGGTCTTGCCTGGAAGACTGCATGGCCTGGCTACCCACCACATCTTTTGGGAAGCTGCTCAGGCATTTATGGGTTACCATTTAATTTTTCCATACAGTTGTCCTCCTTGGTTTGAATTTGAGCAGCTTTTGCTTTCAGTGTTGGAGTTGGGCAGTATCTTCATTTACAGATTATCATTTTTTACTGCAATTTTACCTCTTGTTGTTTATAGGCCATGATCAATTCCTCTCTTACCTTTGATGGAGAGCTAAGAAATGGAAGCAGGTTTTGAAGCCTTCAGTGAGTCTTTCAGTCATTTTCTGTATCTCTTGTTGTTCAACTCCTCTCTTACCTTTGATGGAGAGTTAAGAAATGGAAGCAGGTTTTTGAGGCCCCTTCAGTGAGTCTTTCAGTCATTTTCTGTATATTTTTTGTATATTTTCAGTTTCTTAACTCTCTGCTACGAAGATTAGCCACCTAACAGAGCTTTCTCTTGGGCAGAATGGAGATGGATTGGAGTCAATTTTATGAAAAGGAAAAAAGAGAGAAGAGAATTCACACTGATGGACATCCTAAAGGAGAGGATGGACAGACATCTCCTGGCTCTGGCACAGGTAAAAGGGGATCCTGTCCTGGAGTCAGTCCAGGTGGTCTCAGGAGGTTAATTCTCACTTGGGGAGTGCATTACTCTGATAAAGACTTTATTGTGATTTTAACCAGTCTGCCTTAAGGAAAAAAAAAAGAAATAAAAATCGACAGGTCTATTCTCTTTCTGACAATTATTTGACAACCTGAATTCTTTAATTTTTTTAGTAAAAAGATTGTTAATATTAAATCATTATTAACCCATTAGCACATACCTTATCTCTTAGAAATTTAGTGCTATGTGGAGATAACAACATACATTAAAAGACAGGTTGACATAGTGCTTAGTGACACGGATTAGTGATGGTTTTTTATCAGAGTTAGGTTGATGGTTGGACTCAGCCAATTTTATGATTCTATAATCTCTCTACAATAACCAGTAAAAAATGAGTTGTATAACCTTGGTTTTCCAGATTTCTACTCATGCTTGAAATTATAAAGGCACAGCAGAGAGAAGGAGTTTAACTCAATTTTTTTTGCTGCTGTCATTGTGGTGAAAGTCCACCTGGCACCAGTCATTCTTCTTCCTGGGGCCAGCTGGCTACTCCAAATAAGAGGATTTATCTGGCCATATGAGAAGAGGAGTATAGGAGGTATGTTTCAGATGAAGAAATATTAGAAAAGAGGAATTCTTTATAGTGTATAATCCAGCCAGATGTTCGCCATCACCAAAATCTTTGGGATGGAATTTTTGATGGGACTATGAGAAACCCATATAGAGATGTACCATAAACCACTCAAAACCAGAAGCAGACTCCTTGTTTGTTTTGAAAAATTAATGTATGCAGCTCTAAATTTGGTGGTTTTAAATTTTTATCTCTGGTTTGGGTGCATTTAAAGTTAGAGTCAATTAATGATGAAGATTTAGCCTGATCGTGGGTAGTGACCTAATTTGTTGTGTGCAGCCCAGCAGAGCTGTCTGTTCTGCCCATTTACAGACAACAAAATATCCCAGAGACATAAAAAGGTTTGGTTTCAGCCTGTTCTTAATGCTTCTGTGGCACACTTTGGGTTAGGTGCCTGCTGGCTGTTCTAAATTAGGTTACAGGCAGGAAAATCATGAATATTGAACTTTGATTATACAGCACTCATTAATGCAAAGTCTTTTATAAACAGTTGATAAACTACCTGCCCAATAGCAAGGCCAGCTTGCTAACAGAGGGCAACAAGAGGTCTGTTGTCACCTGTGAAAATGAGATGAAGCACCTTTTATTTACCATTTTAATTTCTGTCCCCCAGTGGAATGACCTATATAAATCCAGATTTTGACATCAACGTGATGCAAGAAGGTTAGAGAAGTCACTCACAGATCCAGCTGGAAGCCTTGTACAGTGGGAGAACACCTGCGTGGAATAAACCCGTCATCGCTGACAACCCTGTTTGTGTGTTCAGTGTTGATGGGGCTCCAACCCCAGGAAGGTTTGTGGGATGAATGTTGGTATCATCCCTGAAATACTGAGCCTACAGGAATGGGCTCCTGGGGAACAGAGCTACCAGCACAGTAAAAAAGCTGGAAAACTCTTCTGTCTTAATCCAGGGCTGAGATTGGTCCAAGAAGAAGGTGGAAAAGTTCCACCTGTGGCTCTGCCAGTGCCAAACACTTCCTTGGGGATGTGGGATGATCTGGCTGCTCTTAAACAGTTGTTTGAAGTATTTAACTTAGAGGGAAAAAAAAAAAAAAGCACCTTTGAGTTGGGAGCAACTGTTTTGTCTTAACCTACTTGATTCAAGTGGTAGAAAAGAGCGTCGTGCTCATTTTCTTGATGCTCATTGAAGCTGCACCGAGGACAGCAGCAATGTGACCACATAAATACACCAGAAATTGGGTATTTACCCTTCCTACACACTCTGGTGTTTTTCTGAGAAGATATCAAAGGCATTGGACTAGTGCTGAGAGGGGAAATACACGACCCATTGTGTCTTCTGAAAATGGAAGCCCTCTGAAAGCCAAGTATCAGTCAAAGCGGGGATACAAGCTCTCCGACTTTTGTCTGGAATTTGCTTTTTCACTTCATCTTCTGGTCTTTGAAGTTTTATTTTTCCCCTTGTCCTTTCTCCACCCCATTTCCCAGATACTTGAAAATCATCCTTACATTGTAAAGTGGAAAATGCCTATAATTTAACTGATCACTGCAAAGACAGTAAGAGCGTGAAGGCTTTTATAAGCTTTGTAATTATCTTATGATGCATTTTATGTATTTTTTTTGTGTTTTTCCTTTGCTGGAGGTAGTAGAGAAGAAGACATAGTTGGTTTCGCTTTCTGGTTGGAATACTGAGGAGGTGCAAATTCTTTTAATGATGTAATATGCATTAGTCTCTGGAGCTGGAAGCAACGTTTGGCACCAACAGGAGCAGAGGTGGAGCATTTCTACCTTTCCGTTCTTGAAGCATCTTGACCTTGGCTCAAGTGAGGATGGTTTTGGAGCTCCCCTGTGCTACCTGAAACCATTTTTAAATGCTCTGCGAATCTCAGAGTAATATAAATAAAGAGTAGTACAGTTTCAGCTGTTCTTATGATGAGTTTAGACTCAAGTCGGTTGATGTTTTAAATGACTTGCTAGAGGACAGAAAAATAAAATCAATATTAGTAAATAAAAATAATTATGCTCCCGACCCTGTGCTTGGGGAATGATTTAGCTTGCTTTCCTCACACTGACAGATTGGTTTCTGCAGATATTGCCAAATTTCCAAGTACCTTGAACTCAAGTTCCTAACAACTTCTTCCTCCTCTTGGGAGAGAAAATTGGAGGGCAAGAGTTTTTATTAGACCAGTTGGGAAAGCTGACAGGCTTTACAGCAAAGAGTCTCTCGTTTCTCTCGGTTGCGGTTGTTGTCTTTTCCCTTCTTTTACGAGAACCTCTGCGAAAAGAGGCACTTGGCTGCTGTCAGCCCCACCGTGTAAGACCAGGAGCTGACTCCTAGTGAGTGCCACAAGGGGATGCCTCAGACATGGCTTTTCTGCACAGTCAGACCTCCTCAGGTGTGGGGAAAAATTCATCCTCTTTCACTGGAATTTAACCCAATCTCAATTTTTTTTTACTTTAAACCCAATCGTATCTGTTCTGACACTGATGTTCCCTGAAGTGGAGTAGCTTTTGACATATGGCATTGGCCCAGGTTGCCCAGAGAAGCTGTGGCTGCCCCATCCCTGGAGGGGTTCAAGGCCAGGCTGGATGGGGCTTGGAGCAACCTGGTCTGGTGGGAGGTGTCCCTGCCCAGGGCAGGGGGTTGGAACTGGATGATCTTTAAGGTCCCTTCCAACCCAAACCATTCTATGATTTTATGTATCTTTCAGTAGGAGGAGTAGCTTTTGACATATGGCACTGGAACAGGTTGCCCAGAGAAGCTGATCCTCTTTCACTGGAATTTAACCCAATCTCAATTTTTTTTATTTTTAACCCAATCGTATCTGTTCTGACACTGATGTTCCCTGAGGAGGAGTAGCTTTTGACATATGGCACTGGAACAGGTTGCCCAGAGAAGCTGTGGTTGCCCCATCCCTGGAGGGGTTCAAGGCCAGGCTGGATGGGGCTTGGAGCAACCTGGTCTGGTGGGAGGTGTCCCTGCCCAGGGCAGGGGGTTGGAACTGGATGGTCTTTAAGGTCCCTTCCAACCCAAACCATTCTATGATTTTATGTATCTTTCAGTGCAAGTACTATTTTAAAATGGTTCCTTGTGCTTCATATATGTCTTTACTAAGTTAAAGCACATGTAATTATAATTCTACCTACCTGTCCATCTATCTGTCGCACAGTTTAAATGTTTTTGCATAGCTTTAATAGCAGATTATTTTTTTTACTGTAATTCCTGTGTTCTGTTCTTCACAGTGTTACTCAGGGGTACGTGGTGCCACGCTTGTATGTAACACATTTCCATCCATTCCTTGCAGGACCCGAGAAGGTTTCAAACGTTTCCATACTAATTAGATGAGGGGTGTCTGGCACAGGAGTGTTTTTCAGGTAAGTGATGTGTTGGAGGGAGACAGTCACGTTGCTGCTCTGGATGAAACCTGCTGTCACTGTGGGCTCCAATGACTTTTAAGATCTTTTTTTTCTTCCACAACTTAATTAGCTCGCTGGCCAGGGCCAGTTTTCTTCTGGTAGTCCCAGATTGTTGTTTCTACTGTGCCATGTTCTTTCTCTCCTTAAACTTTTGGGAATTGTTGGGTGAAGCATCTCCTATAGCAAAGAACACTGGTTTGTATCAAAAGATGTCTATGTTTCTAGAAGTTTTTAGTACTTTATAGATCTTGTGCTTTTTTTTTTTTTTCCCTCTCAAATATTTGTGATACAAATAGAAGAAGGTGTCAAGTAGAACAAGAAAGTACCTGATGTCACCCTGTGCTCCTGCCTGCAGCATCGCTTCCAGGCCAAGGCTCAGATTTAGACTGAGTTTCCTCCATAGGAGCTTGGTCTCTTAATGATGTAAAAAAAAAAAATTAAATATATGTTTGGTGAAGTCACCAAAGTCTCTTAATGTGAGTTTTGGGAATTTTACTATTCTGCCCGCAAAGGGCCCCTTCTAACTCTGCTAGGAAAGTTTTACTACATGAGTATTGTTCTTAGGATTATAAATAGCAGCCGGCTGAACAAGGTTGGGTTTGTCACAGTGTTTGTAGATCAAGTGCACGGCTCTGCAAAGCCATTGGGATGGTTTGTTTTCATGGAAAAATATCTGCTGGAGATTGGGAAGCAGCTCTTCCTGCCCTTCTACTGGTCTGAACATCAGCCGGTGTGATGGGGTGAGTAGGGATGTGGAGAGCGATTTCCATTGCTGGAAAACAGGTTACCAGCACCCCCCTTTTTGGTAAGGGGTCATTAGGGCTTTGGGAATAAAGCTTTGAGAAGCAGCAGGGTGACCCTGGAGCTGTGCAGAGAGAAGATCATTCAGTCCCATGGGAAATTTCCAGAACCCAAGTATTGTTTCCATTCCAGCTCCTGGCCTCCAAAATGTCATTTTTCCCCACAAAAGAAAACAAAGCCCGGGAGCAATCTGGGGTTAGCTCCACAGGCATGGAACAGGGACACCCTGGCCATGGGCTCTGCTGGCACAGGAGACTTGTGTGCCAGGCTGTGCAGGGGCCTCCCAACCCTCCAGACCCCCTGCAGCTCACCAGAAACGCCAGGTTATTTTCCAGGAGTGTTACCCCTTCTACCAGAGCCACTAAAACAAACCTCTGGCATGTCTTGTCCCAGATAGCGCGGTTTGTCCAAGTCACTAGGATGATCCTGCTGCCTTGGCTTTTGGCTGAATTACTGGAATGATCTCAGCTGACCCCAAGTTTGAGTTCACTGGAGCCTGTTTTCCAGTTTTCTGTCTGTGCCTGCTGGCTGTAAGAGGAGCAGGGGGTTGGATGGAGGTGGAGGCCAGGCTTTCTGTGTGGGGAGATCACAGAGTCACAGAATTGTAGAGGTTGGAAGGGACCTCTGGAGATCATCTACTCCAACCCCCTGCCAGAGCAGGTCCACCCAGAGCAGGTCCCACAGGAACACATCCAGGTGGGTTTGAATGTCTCCAGAGAAGGAGACTCCACCACCTCTCTGGGCAGCCTCTGCCAGGGCTCTGCCACCCTCACAGGAAAGAAGTTCCTCCTCATGTTTAGGTGGAACTTCCCATGTTCCAGTTTGCGCCCGTTCCCTCTTGTCCTGTCCCTGGGCACCACTGAGAAGAGCCTGACCCCAACCTCTTGCCACCCACCCTTTAGATATTGATAAGCATTGATGAGGTCCTCTCTCAGTCTTCTCTTCTCCAGACTAAACAAACCCAGGTGCCTCATCTTTTCCTCATAAGAGAGGTCCTTCATTCCCTTGATCATCTTTGTAGCCCTCTGCTGTCCCCTCTCCAGCAGTTCCCTGTCCTTCTGGAACTGTGGAGCCCAGAACTGGACCCAGTGCTCCAGATCGGGTCTCACCAGGGCAGAGCAGAGAGGGAGGATGACTTCCCTTGACCTGCTGGCCACATTCTTCTTGATGCACCCCAGGATGCCATTGGCCTTCTTGGCCACAAGGGCACACTGGTGCCTCATGGTCAACTTGTTGTCCAGGACTCCAAGGTCTCTCTCTCCAAAGCTGCTCTCCAGCAGGTCACCCCCAACCTGTACTGGTGTGTGGGGTTATTCCTCCCCAGGTACAGGACCCTACACTTGCCCTTGTTGAATTTCAGAGATGTGCAGCTCTTACTGACAACGTCCTCTGTGGTGCACACCTACCTCCAGCTCTGCTGCCCTCATGACATCCCCATCCAAGCTGCCTGGGGAGCCCTATTTCTGCTTACTGTGCTGTACCACACACTGCGTGGCATGGGATAGACCATCATCCTTCCCTATAGAACAATATCCCATGTTGTGTACAGGCTTCTAAAATGTTGTCAGCGCCGTCCTTACCAAACTGAGGACTTTAAAGTGAGTATTTTCCGTAACACGTGCTACAGAAAGCACTAGTGAGACTCTGGTGACCACTGTTGTGTTTGAAAGGCAGAGATCCTCCTACCGGATGTGTCATTCAATGGTTCTTTCTGGGAGAGAAGTTGCTGTACCAGCTCATCATGTCCACGAAGGACTGAAATTTATCTCAGGGTTTCTGTTATGTGAGAAATGTAAGATAAAATCCTGTAAGAAAATTAAGAAAACAGCTAATTTTAAGAAACATCCTTCATTCCTTCTTTGTCCCTGCCCCCTGGAAACATAAACATCCTTTTTTGTAACTATCTTAAGGATCCCTTCTTTAACACACACTTTTACAAAGGGTGCGTTCCCTGAGTTGAGTGCTGAGGCCTTTGGCCTTGAGAGGTACCATGTACTTGCAAGTTCTTAATTCAAATTAATCCACGTCCACTCGTAGGTGTTAGCAATTTTTTAGAAAGGAATCTAAACACTCAGCACCTCACCATTTTCCATTTTCTCAGTCGTCTGAGTTTGTCCCTTTGAAGTTACTGCTGTAGTTGGAAGAAAGGTCACGCCAATCTATTTCCTTTAAAAATTATTTTCATTTCGACAGTGTCTAATTATTGTTTTTTCTCTCATTTCTTATGATGTTTTGGGTGAAAGTAATTTCTGGTGCTTGTCGTTTTTTAAGCATTTTCTTTTCTAGAAGTTGTTTTGTAGTTTGATGTGTTCCTCACATCACAGTAGGTGGTGATATTCTGCAAGCCCCAATGATGTTTGTCAAACATTTTTATGCAAAAGCCTAAAAAAGAAGCATTACTAATTTCCCTTAGGTAAGAGTTTGATTGGTTTTCATATTTAATTTCTGTTGAGTGCCAGGCTCTTTCTCCTTCTTTTTAACATGAACAAAACCCACTTCAAACAGCAGAACTTCATCTTAAAACTGATTTCTTATTGCTTGGAGCTTTCAAGGGCCAGTGTGACTTTGGGTGGTCCTTGATCTTCCCCTTTTGGGTGCTCTGCTATTTTTTCTTTCCCTCCAGATTTGCAGGGGGCTGGGGAACGTTGGTCCAAAACCACCTTCCAGATCTTTATTTTCCTTGTTGAAATGGTGATGGGGTGCACAGAGGGGAGGTGGGTGCAGCTTTTCTTCGGAATGTGTCAGGGACCAAGGCTGGTGGCACCGGGGATGGGTGCAAGGGGTGTCAAGGGACATGGGGGGGGAGGTTTGAGACATGCTTTTTGGAGCCACCTGCAATGACTTTGCGGGGGGTCAAATGACTTTGGGGGGCTCTCGTTTTCCACTTACAGAGCAAAAAAATAACTCTTCCATCGCGGGGTGGGGATGACACCTCCTGCTTCACCATCCCTTCGTGGCATCGTGCTCCCAGAATTGTCAGAGTTGGAAGAGACCTTCTGGAGATCATCTAGTCCAACCCGCCTGCCAAAGCAGGGTTGCCCAGAGCACATCACTCAGGATGGCATCCAGGTGGGTCTTGAAGATCTCCAGAGAAGGGGACTCCACACCTTCCCTGGACAGCCTCTTCCAGGGCTCTGGCACCCTCACTGGAAGGAAGTTCTTCCTCAGATTGGAGTGGAACTTCCCATGGTCCAGCTTGTGCCCGTTGCCCCTCGTCCTGTCACTGGGAACCACTGGAAAGAGTCTGGCTCCATCCTCCTTCAACCCACCCTTTAGATACTTGTCAGCATTGATAAGGTCTCCCCTCAGCCTTCTCTTCTCCAGGCTGAAGAGCCCCAGCTCTCTCAGTCTCTCCTCATCAGGGAGATGCTCCAATCCCTCCATCATCTTAGTTGCCCTTCTCTGGACTCTCCCCAGTAGTTCCCCATCTCTCTTGAACTAGGGAGCAGTCCCCCCCAGCGAGCATCGGGGGAGCCCCGTCCGTCGCCTCCTCCTCTCCGCTTGCCCCGTCGGGCATCTGGACTCTCCCCAGTAGTTCCCCATCTCTCTTGAACTAGGGAGCAGTCCCCCCCAGCGAGCATCGGGGGAGCCCCGTCCGTCGCCTCCTCCTCTCCGCTTGCCCCGTCGGGTGGAGGATTTTCCCTCGTTTATCAACTCCAGGAAAAGTAACACCAACTCCCTCGGGAGCCCCTTGGCAGGTGCCACCGGCGCGGCGGGGGGGGCGTTGGGGTGGCGGGGGGCTGTGGGTGTCAACCCATCCCCGACGGGCGGTGCAAGGCT